GTGACTTGGTCATCTTTCCAAGTAAGCAAGACTCGCACGTGTCATCGTCCCTAAGGTCGAATGACTCCAGCACTCCATCCTTTTGGAGTTGGGCTATGCGCTTCTTGTTGACATGTCCAAGACAACAATGCCACAAGCATGCTTTGTCCAAACCATTGGACGAATCGATATGCAACACATTATTTCCTAAGTTGTCTACAACCATCACAGTTTCATATATACCATTACAAGGCAATGCTTAAAAATAGAAAGTACCATTCAAGAAAGCATTAATAGAACCAATTTCATTGTTAAACGAAAATCTAAAACCTTTTTTGTAGAAACCATGAAAATAAATAATGTTTCGTGTCATTTCTGACGAGTAGCAACAATTATTCAAATCTAAACCTAACCTACTACTAAGCACTAAAGAGTAAACTCCAATCTTGGTGACAAGCGACACTTTCCTATTCCCCATGATCAAGTTCATCTTCCCATGCTCCACATCCCTACTTTTTCTTAGACCCTGCAAATCAGAACAAATGTGAAAACCACATCCTGTATCGAGGACCCAATACATATCATGCGATGAGTTATTAGATTGAATAGTGTAAATACATGCAAAGGTGGGCTTTATCTTCCCATCCTTGATGTCTTGCAGATACTTCGGGCAGCTTCGTTTCCAATGCCCTTTGTCGTGACAGTAGAAGCACTCTGTATCCTTCGGATTGCAAGAGGGAGCAGCAGGACCACCTTTGGTTCCACTAGAAGAGGTTCCATCATGAGACTTTCCCTTGTGGATCTTAGAAGGAGCCTTCCTCTTCTTCCATTTCCCTTGTCCAATTGCCAAGACAGGGGCAGTAGCAGTAGGATTAGATACAACAGATTTGCCTTTCAAACTACTCGCAACAGTTCGCAGAAGGCCTTGGAGCTTGGCTAGAGTGACCTCCTCTTTGTTCATACGAAACTTATCATAACAGGGAGGCAAAGAGTGTATAATGATATCTATGGCCAACTCTTCATCGAAGTTTACATTTAACTTCAGCAAGCGGTCCACGTACCTTTCCATCTTTTGTAGATGGGTGGTGATGGACTCTCCATCCTTCATCTTGGTGGTGATCATGGAGGCGATGATCTCGTCCCTTTCTTGCCTTGCACTTTGATGGTACCTTTCCATCAAATCTTGGTGCATCTCAGAAGGATAGTAGTCCTCGTAGGACTTTTGAAGTTCGACAGTCATGGTTGCGAGCATGATACACGACACCTTTGTCGCGTCCCTCACATGAGTATCATATTGAGCGATTTGCTCGGGAGTAGCAGTGTTTTGATCAATTTCCTTCAGTTTATCGTCGAGAACATATTCTTTGTCCTCATAGCGGGTGATCATTCTAATGTTGCGAATCCAATCATTAAAATTGGATCCATCAAAGATCACCCTCCCACATAAGTACATGAGGGAGAAAGAGCCAGACGGGTTCGATCCAGAAGCGTTGTTGTTTGAGGTAGACATCTGAAAAAGAAAAGGAACAAAGTTTAGATTAGATAAGAATCCCTAATTAAACACCCAAATGAGAAATTAGGGCTAGGACCCAACACAATTATTTACAGTTCAGAAGTGGGATTCCGTAATCTAATTGCAAATAATTTAAAGGTAGGTAAATGACGATTTACCAATTTCCACCATGAAAAACGAAAAAGGATTTTAAGTTTTAAATGAATTGAAATTCCTAGATTCTTTTTTAGATTCATTGAACTTTTCAATGGCTTGTTTAAATCTCGATTATGCCCTTCAAGTTTGTGACTGGGATACCGAGGATCACAAACAAGGTGTGAATAACCATGCAAATATGCTCGGTACTCTCGATGCCATTTATCACCTGATCAATGTGCCGGTTAGCCACACACGCTCCATCAATCTATGATAACCATCGAGCCACCCTTTGCCACCTTTGCTAGTCCCAAATTAGTGTGTCGGTTATCCACACACGCTCCACTAACGACTTGGCAAAGTGCAAAGTGCAATTTCATGGAATAGCATACATTTTCACATTTTTCTAAAGTAACTAAGATTGGGAATTTATAAAAGCATTTAGTTACTTTATATAATCATTATACTTATTAATGAGGAATTAGTTGTCCTATCCTACTCGTTCGGCTAACGACCCCCACCAATCAAGGAAGCGGTGGGTGAGAGTGGACAACCATTAAACCACCATTTATAGGCAGTAACCTTATACCCCCCTTATAGACCGGCTTCGTGAATGAGGCCTACTAACGGTAAGATTGACTCGTCTTATACATATATAATTATTAATCTTTTAATATTATAATAGAATAAGGGTTGAATTTTAAACTTTTAAAATTCTAGGGTTTAGAATTTAAATATTTCAAAATTAAAACCTTTTTTAATTAAAATTTTAAATTCCAAAACTTGAGGGCAAGTTTTAAAACTTTTCAAAACTTTATTAGATCAAATTAAAATAATTTAACTAATCAAATAATTTATCATTATCTAGATTTGACCTAATTCAGTTTAAGGCAATATAATTCTCATCAAATAATACAAATAATTATTTTTAATCATATAAACTAATAATTATCTTATAGTTTGACAATTTTCTTCTAATTGAATGAGGATAATCATTACCATACAATGAAAATCAAATTTTATCAGTCAAAAACGTTTTTGGTAATTATCCTAATTCAATTTTGGTCAAAATCCCGAAAATCTGCCACCTGACGAGCCGACTCGTCGAGTCACACTTTGGGACTCGTCGAGTAGCCCTGACTCGTCGAGTTCATCATAGGACTCGATGAGTTCATCAGACAGATTTCAGAATTTTGACTTATTCAGTTAAGAGAAATTAAGCAATGCATCAAATACAATAGAAAAACGACCTAGGCTCTGATACCATTGATGAGTTTTGAGCAAAACAACAATCCTATGGTGCACATGCAAACCCTAAAGCTTTGGATCTAGTTTTTCTAATTGTACATGCAATAATCATCCAAAGCTTGCAAACCCTAATCTAGCATACTTAAAATCGAAAATCATAACTAAAAACTAAGTTAGGATGTTACCTTTCAATTGTAGCTTGATCTTTAAACTTTGAGAGCTTTAGTATCACAAGTGTAATACCTCTAATCAATCACAAACACCAAGAGCAAGTTGGAGAATATGAGAGAGAGAGGAGGAGGCTCAAAATCGGCTCTAAGATCCTTATAGGGTTTCTAGTAGCCGAAAATATGATGCCAAGGGGTTCCTTATATAGCTGAAGAAATAGGGTTTCAGTCAAAGACCTAATCCGGTTGCTTAGGCTCTAAGCAGCCCATAAGATCCTTCCAGAATCCTTATCATGGACGAAATCCTTATGGGTTATCCATTAGATTTCGTCTACCCCTATCCATAAGGATCCTCGGCCCATTTTGCAATTATCACATAATTACAATATCAGTCCCCTAAATTTAATTAATCTCTTTTGACCATAAAATTAATTCTAAATTAACTATTGAACAATATCAATTAAATAATATGATTTCTCTTTTAAATATATTATTCACTTAATATATTAATAAATTATAATTAACCTCTTTCTCCATAATTCATCCAGTTAAGTTGCTTTGATGAAGACAACCCAAAAGGACCATGCTACTATCGGGTCAAATACATACCAATTATAGTTATGGGTTTAGACACCTAATCCAACAATGATATCCTTTATTTATGTCAAAAAATCTACAATGAAATACTTCTTGATGGATCCAAGATTGGGATTTTCTGTATAAAGCATGGCAATGCCCAAGTTTGCCAATAGTCTTACTTTTCTTCATTTATTTCACATTAATAACTCTAAATTTACAATTTTTCCTTTACCTTTATAGGAAAGAAAGAAAATTATCAAAGGAATGAAGTGTTAAGATTGTCATTGAGAGTCTTTGTTGAAGAATTGATGGGAATACTTGAAGAATTGGTAGAATTGTAGGAACTCTAGAAAAAGTTTGGGTTGTTGTATAGTGAATGGACCATGTATATGTTGATAGAAAATGTATAGAACAAAAGTATTATTTTTTTGGAGTAAGCTGAAATAGCAACCCACTTTTCATATTTATTCGAAATAGCAATGTACTTATCATTTTTAATCAAAATTAGCAATTGAGATTCTTAGCTTTTGGTCGTATTATTTATGTGACTTGAACATTCCTATCCTTAAGTAATTGAGGATTACATACCATCTTTGGGACGGGGGCAAATCGTCCAACAAAGTGAAAAACCATTAAACTTATGTGTAGATCAACACAACACTAACCAGAATCATGCATGGACATGAACATCATGCTACTTTTACATTTTAACACATAACATCATCCTACATTTACTTTTAACTCATAACCATAATAGCATTATACTTTTATTTTTAACCCAAAATGACAGCCTGCTTTTATTCTTTAACCCACAATTGCAAAAAAAAATTTGCATTTTTAACCCAAAATAACAGCCTACTTTCATTTTTAACACACAATTGCATAAAAGTTCCGTTTTTAACCCAAAATGACAGCCTAAATTCATTTTTAACCCAAAATTATACAAAATTTTCATTTTTAACCCAACAACAATGTTAAGCTCTAAAAAACGACAATGTCATTATAAAAATCTCGGAATAAATAAAGATTAACCAGCTAATGGAGAAGTCTGAAAATAGTCATCACCAATTTTAAAATTCAAAAAAAGTCAAAAATGCTATCAATGTCTGATAAATAAGTTTTAGATAAATTACTTAGAAGTACTCATAACCGAAAAACAGGGGATTTCTTTGAATTGAAACTTTTTTGATCGAACCCAATATCTTGATGTATGCAATTCAGAAGGAACGTTGGAGGTTTATATTTTCCAGAGCATATCAAACCCAATTTCTATGAATTCCCTCTGTGAAAATCGTTTTTTGTGAAATCGTTTTCTGTGAATTGAGTGTGTGAAATCGATTTTTTGGTGTAGTCGTCTTTTTCTCTGAATTGTGATTTCTATGAAATCGTTTTTGGTGTCGATTCTTTTCACAATCGATGATCATATAATCATTTGGAAAACAAGGATTAATTGCATTGGATGGTATCAATGAGTAAGGAAACGTAGTAATTTTGTTTTAGGAAATTTTTTTTCCAGAAAAGTAAACAAG